TTTTTTTTTTTTTTTTTTTTACTGATATGACATCAGCTCAGAAAGGAGACACTCACTTTGGCCTGGAGCAAAGCGCTCTTGCAGATGGGCACTCACTCCTGTTCTGACACCCTTTACACCCAGCTGCCAGCCTTGAATCTAGTCGGGCTTGTTGCTAAAGCCACCTCCACAGGGACCTTAGGAGGCAGCAGCGGGTCTGTGCTTTGGGTTAGCCTCGCCCGCACAGTGAGCCCAGGCTGCTTGGCTCTCCCTGCGCCCCGCCTTCGGCATGTCCCCTTGTCACCGGCGCTGATGGCTCTGCCGCCTCCCTGGTCTGTGCCGGCTGCCGGCTGCCTCACCAGCAGCGCTAATGGCGTGTAACCTTCCACGGAGCAGCTGTGGAGCGAGGCGATGTGGCGGATGTGCAGGACCCGAAACATAGTGAGGCTTGGTAGTTTTGAAAAGGCTCTGCTTGCCTCCCATGCTTTTAGTGACAGGGACAGAAAAGCACTCGTGTGAGCGGGCACGGTCCTCCCCTCCCTGCCCCACGTGGTGACCGTACTCACCTTTGGGCAGGACAGGTTATCGGGTGAGCTGGCTTCATGGACAGGAATCGAGAGGACTGGGGGCTTTCACAGGACAGAAAGCAGAGGACACTGGGGGATCCAGAGAAGAGCCTGCAGGCTTGAGAGAAACTATGGGAAGTTTAAAGAATGGGAGCAAAGATTTGGGCAGCTGACAGCTCCGTGAGTGACCGGGGAGTCGCTGGAGATTGTGCGCTCTGGTAGTGCTGTGTGCTGTGCGCCTGGCAGGGGGTCCGTAAAGGTCTCAAGAGTTTGTTTGCTTGGCTGGTTAGGGCTGGCAGGCTAGCTCTGAGTGTGAGGCTGTGCTGGCTGAGCTGCAAGGTGGCCCGACTTTATTTGGGTGATGCTTTAAGAGTCAACTCTCTTATTTTCTCCCAGTACTTTTGTGCATTAAGTATGTCCCTTTTCCACGTCAGCTAAATTCAGCTTTTGTAAGTTCATGAAAAAAATCACAAGTCAGTTCCCACGGTCCTTTCCTGTACCTCCTCTCTAATCCTCATACCAGTCCTGTGAGCCAGCCTGGGGGAGGCATGTAAGGAGAGCTAGGCCTAAGCTGGAGAGCTGGGTGCCTGTGGGTGCTCTCCCAGCCAGCGGGCCGCAGCCCCAGCTGGAACCTGGGTCCCTGACATGAAGCCCAGGAGCAGTTGATGTGGCGCCCTCAGCACACCCTTCTTCACTCCCATGAGGGGTGGCTTTATTTCTCCCTAGGAATCTCTGCACTGTCCAGATTGGATTATCTTTCATTTGGTCATCTAACAAAATCATCGAGCACCTGCTATGCATGGACACATCTAGATCCTGGGAATAAAATCAGTGGTGCCCAGGCACACAGGGGCCCCCAGGCACACCCTGGTACAGTGCAGTACAGGATCGTGGCCCTGCCGCCCACTGTGAAGGGGAAACAGGGCTAAGGGATGCTGAGGGAACCTGCCCAGGACCTCGGAGAGTGTGCAGCCTCCTAGGGGTCGCTGGGACACTTTAGCCAGGGAGCTTCAGGCCGCGCCATCCCCGCCTAGAGCATTTCTGGGAAAGGAGTCCCGCAGTTCAGTGCCCACACTGAAGGTGAGAATGAGACGCCCACATCCTCAGCCCTGGCAGCTGCGTGCAGTGTTCTTTTCAGGAGATAATGCTCTCTGGTGTCCTTAAGAGGCAGGGACACCGGGCCTGGAGCCACGGGCAGCTTTGAAATGCTGACTCCTCCAGAGGCCCGCTCACGTCTCTTCCTTCTTGCAGTTTGTGGTGGGCCGGGATGGCACCTGCGGCGTGGTGTGCGAGCACTCCCCGTTCGACGGGATCGTCCTGGTGCAGTGCGTGGAGCATCTGCTCAAGCACATGTGAGTCGGAGGGCAGGGCGCTCCCCAGCAGCCATGGCGTCCAAGCCAGACTGCCCGGCAGCTGCCAAGCCTCGCCATGAAAACTCAGTGGCCCTATGGGGGCTGCGTTAGTCCCAAAAGTGTCTCAGCAAAAAATGGATTTGCAAACCAGCTTGAATGAGACATTATAGGCTTTATCAGGGTTTGGGGCAGTTAGGGAGAGGCTTGGCAAAGACCTCTTAGCTAAAAAGGAACATCTGCTTTGATCCAGAGAGGCTCTGATCAACCCCTACTGTGTGCCCCAGGAGGCCAGGATGGAGGGACTGTGACCAGCACAGAGGGGAGGGCGCGAGCTGCACCTCCTCCCATCTTCCCGGGTGGGCCTCTCTCCCGGCCTCCGAGATGGCCTGACTGAGGGCTTCCCTGACCTATAAACACACTGGTTCCTTCCTCCATTTACAACTTTGCTCATTCGCTCCTTCTAGAATCTTCTCCCAGAGCCTACGTTCTAAACCTCTCCCATGACGTAGAAACTCTTTAGGATCTCTGAAAACCCAAACCAACCCTTGCAGACGGAACAACACAGTTTGCTTCAATTCATCTCCAAATGTTTTGTGATTGTTAGTGGTGTCATGTAGTCGAACAGGAAAACCCAAAATAATAATAATAATGATGATGATGATAGGCCTTGGAGTCAGGGGAGCTGGATGGAGCCTGGCTCTGCACTTGCTAATCTGATGGCCCCCCTGAGCCTCACTGTCTTCAGTGAGTGCAGTGGGTCGGGGCCGCTCCTGCCCGCGGAGCCTCCACCGCTGAGGCCACCGCAGAGGGCACAGGGGCCGCCGGCAGCCCCGGCGCGTCTGCAGGGGTCACCTCCTGTGCCTGCAGGACGAGCAGCAGCAAGAAGCTGGTCCGCGCCGACTCGGTCAGTGAGCTGCCGGCCCCGCGGAGGCTGAGGTGGAAGTGCTCCCCCGTAATTCAAGGCTTCTTAGCCTCCTCAGCAGAGAAACTCCAACGGTAAGGAAAAGCCCTCCTGCACCCCGCATCCCCCCC